AAGAAATCCATGGAGAACCCCGAAAATTCATGGGGGAACTCGGAAATCCATGAGGGGGCACGGAAATCCATGGAGAACCCCGAAAATTCATGGGGAAACTTGGAAATCCATGGGGGGGGAACGGAAATTTATGGGGGGACACGGAAATTCATGAGGGAACTCGGAAATCCACCGGGGGACCCCAATAAAGCCATGGAGAACCCTGAAAATTCATGGGGAAACTCAGAAATCCACGGAAGAAACACAGAAATCCACGGGGGAAACTCAGAAATTCATGGGGGGAACTCGGAAATTTATGGGGGGAACTCGGAAATCCATGGGGAACCCCAAGAAATCCATGGAGAACCCCGAAAATTCAAGGAGGAACTCCAGAATCGATGGGGGAAACTCAGAAATCGATGGGGGGAACTCGGAAATCCATGAGGGGGCACGGAAATCCATGGAGAACCCCAAAAATTCATGGAGAACCCCGAAAATTCATGGAGAACCCCGAAAATTCATGGGGGAACTCGGAAATCCATGGAGGGGAAACGGGAATTTATGGGGAACCCCAATAAAGCCATGGAGAACCCCGAAAATTCACAGGGAATCTCGGAAATCCACCGGGATTATTTGGGAATTATCTGGGAATTATTTGGGAATTTATCTGGGAATTATTTGGGAATTGATCTGGGAATTATTTGGGAAATATTTGGGAATTATTTGGGAATTGATCTGGGAATTATTTGGGAAATATTTGGGAATTCCACTGGAGATCAAGCGCGGGCCCGGCAGCGGCCGGATCCGATTTCCTCCTTCGTTCCCGGATCATTATTTTGGGGTTTTTGTTGGATTTTGGGGTTTCTTTGTTTTCCCAAGGAATTCCAGGCCTGACCCGGGGGAAAGGCCGGATTGGGATCCCCCAAAACCCAGCCGGATTTTCCAGGAGTTATTCCATGAATTTTTTTGGGAATTGGGATCATTTTGCTCACGGAATCCCGGAGCAGAACACCCTAAATCCAGGGAATTCGGGGTTTAATTTAATTTATGTTCAGTTTTGCTCTTCCCTTAATCCCGACTCCAGCCGGATTTCCCAGGGGTTGTTCCATGAATTTTTTGGGAATTGGGATCAGATCCCTAAATCCAGGGAATTCGGGATTTCATTTCATTTACGTTCAGTTTTGCTTTCCCTTAATCCCGACCTCAGATGGATTTTCCAGGAGTTATTCCATGAATTTTTTTGGGAATTGGGATCATTTTGCTCACGGAATCCCGGAGCAGAACACCCTAAATCCAGGGAATTCGGGGTTTAATTTAATTTATGTTCAGTTTTGCTCTTCCCTTAATCCCGACTCCAGCCGGATTTCCCAGGGGTTGTTCCATGAATTTTTTGGGAATTGGGATCAGATCCCAAAATCCAGGGAATTCGGGATTTCATTTCATTTATGGCCATCCCCAATTCCAGCCTCATCTTTGCTTCCCGTCAATCCCGGGACACGGATCGGGAATTCCGGAGGCCGAACCTGAACCGGCGCCTTTTGGGGTTTTTGGGTGTTTGGGTGTTTTTGGGGTTTTTGGTGTTTTGGGGATTTTGGGATTTTTGGGATTTTGGGGGTTTTGGGTGTTTTGGGGATTTTGGGGTTTTTGGGTGGTTTTGGGTGTTTTGGGGTTTTGGGTGTTTTTGGGGTTTTTGGGTGTTTTTGGGTGTTTGGGGGTTTTTGGGTGTTTTTGGGGTTTTTGGGTGTTTTGGGGTGTTTGGGGGTTTTTGGGTGTTTTGGGGGTTTTTGGGTGTTTGGGGGTTTTTGGGTGTTTGGGGTGTTTTGGGGTTTTTGGGTGTTTTTGGGGTTTTTGGGTGTTTTTGGGTGTTTTGGGGTTTTTGGGGTTTTTGGGTGTTTTTGAGGTTTTTTGGGGTTTTTGGGGTTTTTGGGGGGTTTTGGGTGTTTTGGGGTTTTTGGGTTTTTTGGGGTTTTTGGGTTTTTGGGGTTTTTGGTGCTTTTGGGATTTTGGAGTTTTTGGAGTTTGGGGGTTTTTGGGGTTTTTGGGGTTTTTGGTGTTTTTGGTGTTTTTGGTGTTTTTGGAGTTTTTGGAGTTTTTGGTGTTTTTGGGGTGTTTTTGGGGTGTTTTTGGGGTGTTTTTGGATGTTTTGGTGTTTTTGGGGTCACCGTGCCCTTCCCGCCGGGATTTGGGGACTTTGTCCGGTGCGTGGGGCAGGGCGGGGTGCGGGGTCAGGCACTTTTCCCGCAGGGATTATCCCGATTATCCCGAGGTTAATGATTCCCAGGAATCCCAGCAGCCGCCCGACGGGTCCGACTGGATCGACCGCATTGCGGCCGGGGTTTATGGGGCCGCGGGGACCTTTTGGGGCCGTGGGGACTTTATGGGGCCTCGGGGACCTCTTGGGGCCGTGGGGACCTTTTGGGGCCGCGGGGACCTTTTGGGGACACGGGGACTTTATGGGGTCACAGGATTTTTTGGGGTTGTGAGACCTTTTGGGGGCTCAGGGTCCTTTTGGGGCCGCAGGGACCTTTTGGGGCCATGGGGACTTTATGGGGCTGCGGGGACTTTATGGGGTCACAGGATTTTATGGGGTTGTGAGACCTTTTGGGGCCTCAGGGACCTTTTGGGGCCGCAGGGACCTTTTGGGGCCATGGGGACTTTATGGGGCTGCGGGGACTTTATGGGGTCACAGGATTTTATGGGGTTGTGAGACCTTTTGGGGCCGTGGGGACTTTATGGGGCCTCGGGGACCTTTTGGGGCTGTGGGGACCTTTTGGGGCCGCGGGGACCTTTTGGGACCGTGGGGACTTTATGGGGCCGTGTGGACTTTATGGGGTCACAGGGACCTTTTGGGGCCGCGGGGACCTTTTGGGGCCGTGGGGACTTTATGGGGCCTTGAGGACCTCTTGGGGCCTCAGGGACCTCTTGGGACCGCGGGGACTTCTTGGGGCTGCGGGGACTTTATGGGGTCACAGGATTTTTTAGGGTTGTGAGACCTTTTGGGGCCACAGGGACCTTTTGGGGCCTCAGGGACCTTTTGGGGCCGCGGGGACTTTATGGGGCCTCAGGGACTTTATGGGGTCACAGGATTTTATGGGGTCATGGGACCTTTTAGAGCCTCAGGGACCTTTTGGGGCCGTGGGGACTTCTTGGAGCCTCAGGGACTTTATGGGGTCACAGGATTTTATGGGGTCATGGGACCTTTTGGGGTCTCAAGGACTTTTTGGGGTCACAGGACTTTATGGGGTTGTGAGACCTTTTGGGGTCTCAGGGACTTTTTGGGGCTGTGGGATCTTTTGGGGCCGCAGGACTTTATGAGGCCGTGGGATTTTTTTTCCTGGCACAACGTGGGGCTCCCAGTCAGATCCTGGAATCCCCGTGCTGTGCCAGGGCCTCGGTTTGATCCCGGGATCCCGGTGTGATCCCTGGATCCCAGTTTGGTCCCTGGATCCCGGTCAGATCCCGGTTTCCCGCTCTGATCCCAGTTTCCCGCTCTGATCCCAGTTTCCCGCTCTGATCCCAGTTTCCCAGTCTGATCCCAGTTTCCCAGTCTGATCCCAGTTTCCCGCTCTGATCCCATTTTTCCCGCTCTGATCCCAGTTTCCCGCTCTGATCCCAGTTTCCCAGTCTGATCCCAGTTTCCTGCTCTGATCCCAGTTTCCCGCTCTGATCCCGGTTTTCCCGCTCTGGTCCCGGTTTCCCGCTCTGATCCCAGTTTCCCGCTCTGATCCCGGTTTCCCGCTCTGATCCCAGTTTCCCGCTCTGATCCCGGTTTCCCGGTGCTCCCGGTGCCCGGCTCCCGCCCCAGCTCCCGGTGCCAGCCCAGCCCCGGGGGTGCCCAAAGCTCCGCGGGGACCCAGGAGGGGCCGGGGCCGGGGCCAGGGTGGCCACCTCCCGCCCCCGAACCGCGACCCCCATCCCTCTCCCCATCCTCTCCATCCCTCCCCATCCTCTCC